TATATATTTGAATGAAATAAAGTCTTATACCCTTAACAAACATTCAGAGTATTTATCTTTCGCTAATAAAATCTATATTTTGTTTAGCTGTTTGAAAATGATTGATAATTAATAACATGATAGATAATTATTATTAAGAATCTAAATTAGAGTTAATAATTAATAATAATTTCAAAACAATTAAACTAAATATAATTTAATTAAAAATATAAAATTATATATTATTAATTATCAATATATTTATTTTTATTTTATCAGTTATCAATTTGCAATTGTGAATGGTATATTATTATTCCTAATTGACGGCAGACTCGAGTGCATGAATCTGCTTTTTAACTTCCCTTACCAGTTTGACCCAAAAAAAAAAAAAAGGAAAAAAGGAACAGCACTTCGTTTACCAGATTGTTCACCTTTCCTTAAATAAATGTTTGTCATTGCTGTAAATATTGCAGGAAGATTTCTACAAAGGTATTTTAACTTCTCTGCCTTAGTTACCCCGTTTTCATTCATCGATTAAACAAGAAGATTGGCCCTTATACATTTAATATCAACTTTGCTCATTTAAAAATTAATTTTTCCTTTTATTTTTGATATTTAAGATTAGAGTTTTCGCGTACTAAAAACTAATTTTCTCTAGGTAATCTTATAAATATATCCATATAACGTATTGATGCATTTAAAAAAATTAATTTTCATAAATGTTTGACTTAAAATTTGAAATTTAAACTTAACTTACAAAATAACACACACTTATTAGTGGATTTAATCTTTAGTACTAATAGATTTTCTTTTATTTATGAGTGAATATTATTTTAGTTTTTTATTATAGCCTTTTGTTTTTTTAATCAACCCAAGAAAATTATAGATCTTATGCTTCTAACACACATTTAGAGTATTAATCTTTTACTACTTAAATTATAAAATCTTTATTTTGTTTAGTTGTTTAGAAAGCAATTGATAATTGATAGCATGACTAAGAATTCTTGATTTTAAAATCTAAATACTCTTATTTATTTGATTAAAGTCAATAATTGATAATAATTTTGAGAGGGCTAAACCAAAGATAGCCTAACATGCGGCCATTAAGGGTAGAAAGGGAATAAGGCGTATAAAATGGCAAATGTCATTAAATTAAATAGACAATAGGTTTGGTAAGACGCATGATCACATGGTTCTAAGGAAAGCTTTAGAAAGTTCATGAATTCAATGTTGTCAATTGTTCGATGGCCAAAAAAAAAAAAAAAAGCTGTCAATTACTTGATGGCCATGAAAGTGTTGTCAATGGTTTGGGAGTCAAGATTTTTCTTTTGGTAAGGACGTTAAAGTGGACTTGAAAAAACACATTTGGGAAGGAAAAAGGAGAAAAAAAGTGTCACAAACACAACAATATATATTTGATACGTTTCAAAGTGTTCTTAATTAAAATCCAAATAGAAGTTTAAACACATTACGTGAAAGTTGATTTAATTGAAAATTTTCAATGAACACTACAATTTTTATTTGATACGTTTAATACTCTGTTTTTTATCCAAATTTCTCATAATACATTTCAATATTTAAATATAAAACTGCTAATTCTAGACATTAAATTTCTTTTAATAATTTTGTAGTAAATGGATTCAAACCTTGTTATAGATCATCTATACATTAATTTGAAAGTGATTCTCAGTTTTGGTGCAATATCTAATAAGTTTCTAGATTAATCCTCTTTGAAATTGACAAGATTCATGTAAGCAAAGTAAGATATATGGAAACGATAATTCTAGTCCTACCTTGATTCATCAATCTTGATTGTATCTATGAACAACTAAGACCCATGTGCATGCCCCATCTCGTACAATATACACAGAAATCATCAACTTGCACTATTGTATTGTATTTTCCTTCTTCCACTTTGCATGAAATTTAAGAGAGCAAACCATATGAGTCACGCCTTCTAAATTTCGCACGCAACAAAAATATACAATGAGGGGTACAGTATGATATCAAGAACAAATATAGAAGATGCTTGTTTGATAAGAAAAGTAAGAATATGGTCTATGATTTTTTTTTTAATAGTGAGTTACATAATGAGAAATAATTTTATTTTATTAATATGTTATATAATTTATATTAAATTTTTTTTATTTTTATAAAAAATTATTATTAAATTAATTTTTTTTTTGTTTGAATCACCTGATATCCGAAAACCTACTGATCATCGATTAATCTAGATTTAAGCTGCGTAAAACTTAACGGTTGAAAAAGCTATTCCTCATAAGTTTTAAAGAAATTATATTCTCAAGATTTGAAATCAAAATTTTTAATTAAACTAAAAGAGTCTTCTGTTAACTCATTCACTCGTGAGTAAATTAATTAAATCATTAATAATATAAGATGTGATTTTCGTTAATCATGGAAAGCATAATTTTCTAATTCGGAAGTAGAGACGGTTAAAATGGAGCGGTGCACAAGGCGGACTTAATTGGAAACGGACTCTTGAATTCGAGAAATAGTAGGTGGTTCCAACCCATAAATATTTTCGTCCAGTCAAATCTGATGTAAACAACCCATTTCATAAGTTAGGTCAAGAAATTAAAGATCTTTAAAGAGCAGTAGATGTTTTGGAGAAAAATATTTTTACTTGTAAAAGCGGGGAGGAGTACAAACCATACTCTCA